TTTTACTTTTTATCCAATCTCACAGGTTTCCCTGCTTTGCTTTCTCCTGCCTCCAAGTTTATCACCAATGGATTTCATGTAACACTCTTATACATCCTCTTTTGATTCTGATGTATAAAATAAGGTGTAAAACTGCCATTTTTCCTGAGCATGTTCTCAGTCCATTGAAGCTTTGCTTCCCAGCAATCAGTGCCAATTAGGCTCAAATAAACTTATAAAAATTTTTACAGGTTTGGACATTTCTTAGGTTGACATTTACTATGTTAAAAATAAAATAAATTTCTCAGCCCACTCCCCCCAAAATACTATTTTTCCAAGGTAAATTGGGTAAACTGAGAAATATTTTGCCCTCCATTCCCATCTTTTTAATACGGGCGCACTTTATCAGGGTCCTAAAATACAGGGTCCGGCAGAAGTAACATCACTGAGTGTGGTTGGTAGGATTCGTGAATGTCTCGCACGAGATGGACAATTTGAACATTTCACCTAAATTGTCATATGGTGTGCTTGAGTTATGTTAGAGAATTACATGCTTATTATTTTGTAATAAAAGATTTTTATGTAATAAAAATGGGAGGTTGTGCTGGGCCCTGCAGATACTCAAACACAAAGTTTCATTGTACGGTCTTAGACATGCCCTGCCATCCTGTGATCTCTCCTTTTACTTACCTGCTCCATTTCATACTGTCAACCTAACATCCAAAGTTGTACAGACTTTTTATAAGAATCTATTTGAACCAAACTGATGACCTATGGAAGGAAGCAAGATCTCAGATGCTTCCAAGACTAACAGTTTTCTAGCTTCTTTATGCATTTGAAATTAAGGAGGAAAAGTAAGGAAGATTACAGTGGAGGTGGGAGAAAGCAAGGCAGGGATTGGATTACAAGATAGTTAACAGAATCAAGATGGTGGAGGAGTGAGTGGAAGTCACATTGTCCTCCTCCCAGAACCAATATGGAATTAACAACTAAATTGTGGAGAAATCACCTGGAACAAACAACTGAACAATAGTGAGAGAGGAGCCTTATAACCTCAGACAGACAGAAGAATCAGCTTTAGCACAACCTAACTGCCACTTACCCTGGTCTCCAGCACAGGCAGGGGCAGAGTGGGTTAAAGATGCCTGAGGAGAAACTGGAGAAGGAGGTTTTGGGTAGAGAACCGAGAGAGTAGTCAGTGGGATCGTGGTGCTGACTCATCCCCCATATGGCAGTGGCCATCTTGCTCAGGCAGACCACTCCCCTGAGCAGCAACAGTGACAGAGTAAACAATAGCCCTGCCCCCAGGAGGTACTCAGTCCTGGCCCAGTAGTACTAAAGCCTGACTGCTGAGTACAGGGTGGCAGCCACAGATAGTAGATCCCTGGCTAATGGGGCGCAGAGTGATCTAGAGACACTTGAGGAGAGACTGGAGACAGAGGCTTTGGGGAGAGTATGGAGAGAGTAGCTGGCAGAATCCTGGTGCTGACTCATCCTCCATTTGGCAGAAGCCATCTTGCTCAGGGAGACCACTCCCCTGAGTGGCAGCAGCATGAGAGGACCCAATAACCCCACCTCCAGGAGGGACTCTGACCCGCCCTGTGGTGTCTAAGCCTAGCCTTCTGAGTGCAGAGTGACTAGATTAACAACTGAAGGAGAGAGCCACAGACAGTAGATTCCTGGAAGTCTCAAACAGACTGCCTAAGATCAGACAGGGTCAACATCTGACATCAACAGAGGCAGATCCAGAAAAAAAAAATCAGCAGTCTCTTACCATAGAAGTTCACACCACAAAGTCAGGAAATCAAGACAGATCAATTTAAAAACCAGAAGCAAAAAAGGAGAGTCTCACAAAGAATGGGAAGACAAAGAAACAACCCCAGTCAAAGGAAAAGGAGGAATGCCTAGAAAGAGAACTAAATGAAATAGAAGCAAGTAAACTATCAGATACTGAGTTCAAAACAATGGTTCTAAGGAAGCTCAATGAGCTCAGTGAGCTCAGAGAGAATTACCAAAAACTACAGGGAAACTATGAGGAACTTACTGCAAACTATATCAGCATAAAAAAGGATATAGAAGCTATCAACAAAAGACAAGAGGAAATGAAGAATACAATTTCTGAATTGAAGAACACAGTAGAAGGAATCAAAAACAGGCTAGATGAAGCAGAGGAACAAATCAGCGAGCTGGAGGATAAGGTAGAAAAAAACTCTCAGAAAGAGCAAGAAAATGAAAAAAGACTCAAAAAGAATGAAGAAGCATTTAGGGAAATGCAGGACAACCTGAAAAGTAATAATATCTATATAACAGGGATACCAGAAAGAGAAGAAGAGGAGGAAGGGATAGAGAACATGTTTAAAGAAGTAATGATGGAAAACTTCCCTAATTGGAGGAGAGAAAAAGTCACACAAGTCCAGGAAGCACAGAGGGTCCCTTTCAAGAGGAACCCAATGAGGCCCACTCCAAGACACATCATAATTAAAATGGCAAATATCAAAGACAAACAGAGAATCCTAAAGGCAGCAAGGGAGAAAAAGGTCAAAGCTGTCAATTAAAATGGAAGGCAAAATAAGGAGTTTCCTAGATAAAAGAAGGCTGAAAATATACACCTCCACCAAACCAGCATTGCAAAATATGCTAAAGCGACTGCTTTAAGAAGATGGAAAAAAAGAGTCTATGGATATCCAGTTCCTTTCACAGCCACCAATACTTGATATTACCAATATTTTTAATACTTATTAACCTGATTGTGACAGTGATGTGCTGTTTTAATTGACACTTTATTATTTGTTGAAACTAAACCTGTTTTTGTATATTTCTTGCCTATTTCTATTATTTTTAATAAGCTTTAAGTGACTTTTTGGTATTCTTTATCCATTTTTTGACTAAATGTTTGTAGAATTTTTTCCCTAAAAAAACCTATTAACCCTTTTTTAGATCTGTTGCAAATACTTTCCTATTTTATTACTTGTCCTTTAACTCTTTTATGTGTATATTACTATATAGTCTTAAATGTTTCATATAGTCATATTGTCAATATTTTATAGCTTATGGGGTTGAATATTTTACTTCAGGGTAAGAAAAATATTATTTTATATTTTCTCCTAAAACTCCTTAGATTTTACATATTGATTTTTAACTCACCTGAATATTTTTTGTATAATGTATGAAATAGGGCTCTATATTAGTTTTATTTCACGTAATAGTGGTTCATGAACCTTATTTGTTGAATAAGCCTTATTTTCTCCCATTGATTTGAAGTATCAATTTAATCATATATTACATGTTAGACAGATATATACTTTTGTTTCTAGAATGCTCATTTTATTTCATTGATCTACTTGATTATTTCTGTGCTGATGTTCTGCTGTTTTAATTGCTGAGACTTTATAATGGATTTAAATTTTTAAATATTTTATAATGGATTTTAACATTTAAAAAAATAAATAAAAATCAATCTACATTTAAAAAAAAGAAAGAAAGAAGAAACTCCTACCTTTTGTGACAACATGGATGGAACTCGAGAATATTATGCTAAGTGAAATAAGCCAGCTGGTGAAAGACAAATACCATATGATCTCACCTATAAGTGGAATCTATTCAACGAAATGAATTAATGAACAAAATAAACCACAGGTATGGAAACATGGAGCAGGCTGAAAGTGACCAGAGGGGATGGGGAAGGAGGACAATGGTGGAAAGAAGAAGAAGGGACTAAACAAAGAACATGTATGAATGACCCATGGACATGGACAACAGAGTGGGAATTGACTGTGGGAGAAGTGGGTGGGGTCGGAGGGACAGAGGAGGGCAAAGGGCGGGGGGGAGTTGAGACAACTGTAATAGAATAAACATGATTTAAAAATTAAAAATTAAAAAAGATGACTAACAAGATTGTGTGTTTACTTGAGGGTGGTTGCGACTTAATTGATAGGTGGGTTCACCTAGATGCACAGAAACAATGGACAGTGCTTGCTTCAGGCAAAGATAAACGAAAAGTTTATATGCCTGGGGCATGACCCGCCCAGTTAGGAATTCTGGATCCGGTCACCCTGTGAGATTACTTTCCACAGAAACCCTTTTCTCACTCACATTACCTACTTCTTTCTGCCTTCACTTACTCTCTACCTACTAATTTACATTTCTCCCTAAAAATAATTTTATGAATTACACTTCTAGCCATGAATTCGTTTCCTGGATCTACCCCATCATACTTCTCCTCATGGTATTGTAATTGCTACTTCACTTGCCTGTCTTCCTTTGACAAGCTCCCAGAGGACGAGAATTGTTTCTTGTTCACTATTTGAGCCTTTGTGCACAAAGATATGAATAAAATCTCAACCAGGTGCCTGTTCAAGCACCACGCACATCCATGTGCTCCCAGAACCTAAAGACCATTTCCGCATCATCCTCTGCAATTGGCCAAAAATTCAACTCACTTCACACAAACCAGAAACTTCCAGCCCTAGATGGATGCAGTTTATATATGTATGTATATTATTTCAAATAATCTCTCTAAAATCACAGTACATCTATATCACAGTGTTATCATATCATAGCAACAAAGAAAACACTAGTCTGACTATTTATTGACCCCATATCAATAATTCAAAGCCCATTGTTCCTACATGTAGTATTCCATTGTTCTGGAAGACTCATCTTCTATAAAGCTGGGATGGATGCCCAAAAAGGTAAAGAAATCCACTCTTCAAAACAGACTAGGAGGAAGAACAAATTGCCTGAAGTCACAATATTTTAAAAATGTGGGTTAAGAAATAGAAGCTTTTTATTTAGACATAGGCAAATTTAAGAGTGAATTTTATAGTTACATTCTTATATACATGCAAGTGCCCCAATTGTACCTGTGTTTCTTCTCTAATACACACTGGAGTATATAAATTTGTACCCAAAGTGAAACAAAGACTCAAAAAGGATGCCATGATTATTAAAATAAAGTTGGAAACTTTCAGGGGAAGAAAAACACTTAATGTAAAAAACCACACACCAGTAATTTTTTTCCCCTGGGGAGAGGGCAAACGCAGTCCCCCAGTACCACAAATTATGCAGCTGAGTTTCCCACATTTGGGGAAACCACGGAGGTCGGCACACCTGGAGTGTGATGAGTGAGCCTCACCCTGGGAAAACCACCTTCTTGATCACGGTATCTGCCCTTCCAGGTAAGTATCACCTGCTGGCAATCTTATAAGAACTTTTTTATGTAATAGAATTCTATGTAAGGTTAGTTACTTCAACAGGGAAATAGAGACCTATAATGAAGTGACTAATACAAACAGTGCCTTGTATACAATGCCTAGATGTGGGATAAGCGGGAGAGAAAATGTGGCAAAAGTAAATACCAAGAGAGCAAGGAAATTTACACTCCCAGCCACATATGCCTCTACAAACCACTTAGGGCTTGGCAAACCATGGGTAAGTTTACAATTCCCAGACGTGAGTAGACACTCACTGTTTAAAAATGAAACTGAGTTTCTTTTTCTAGTGATCTCCAGGAGGCAAGCTGGTTGTAGAGGCAGGAAGCTCGCTCCCTTAGATACTGCGTTAGTCAGCTTCCATGAGGACCCCCAAGGACCGCCTCCTGGCCTTTGTGCCCTTAGGTCGTTCTCCCCCACATTGCAGCAGCCTTGGTCTGTGTGTCCAAAAGCATATCACAGAAATGATGGCATGTCACCTCCAAGACATGCTCTAGAAGACTGCTGTCTGTCTGGGTGCTCTCGACCCCCAACTTCAACCTCAGATGGCTGGTTCTAGGGTCAGCAAGCTGCTCCGTGGAGAGCAGAGACCAGCCTGGTGAGAAACTGGAGCTTCCAGGCAGCAGCCACTGATGAACCCAGGGCTGCCGACAGCCTCGTGAGTGAGCTTGGAGGTGGAGCCCGCAGCCGGGTCTGGAGATCAGGGCAGCTCCCACCAACAGCTTTACCGCCACGCGGTGAAAGACTCCCAGAACTGCTCGTCAGCCGTTCCTGGACCCTAGATTCCCAGAAACTGTGTCAGATAATAAGAGCTTTTCGTTTGAAGCTGCTAGTTTCAATTTGTTACGCAACAATAGATAAGGAATACAGATGTCTTTCTTGTCTTTCACAGAGAACACTCAGAAAACTGGATGAAACTAGTTTTGTTAATCTGATAAGACTACTGGCATAGGAAAAAAAAATAAACCCAGAAGAGAAAATCAAGCAAGTGAAGTAGTACCATTTATATCATCTTCAAAAGATTTTCTTTTTATCCATGAAACGATGCTGGTTGAGGATGTCTGCTGAGAAAGAGGAGAGAGAAAACACATACTTCTCCTCATCTGTTTTCAAGGAGATGGTGACTCACTCATTCATTCTTTATTGAGCTCCTAGTTCTTTATAAAACTTTTAAATGGTGTATAAAAGTGGAGTTCAAATGGCACGTGCCTAGCAGAATGTCAAACATCAGAGGAATGGCAGATTATGGCACAGATATATTATGGTCTCGAAACCATTTGAGAAGAATTTTGAGGAGGAACATTTAAACTGGGAAATATTATGGAAATATTGCTAATATAGAACTAAACTTGTAGAATATTGCACTGTTTGTAGATAAAATGTATAATGTAATATCAAGTAATATGCATTAAAGGAGAAAAAGAGCATGAAAAAAACCTTAGTTATGATTGTCACTGGCAGGAGGTGAGATTATAGGCAAGTCTTCTGGTGTGGCAGGTACAGTAGTAGGTATTTCCTCACAGGATAGCATAATAAGTAGGTTTTGGAGTTAAAAATCCTGGCCATGTACTTAAAAATTGTATAATTTTTGGCAAGTTAATTAACATTATACAAATATTATGTTAATATATGTGTATCTCTTCCTGCCTCTTTTCTCTGTCGATCCATCATCTATCTCCACCTCACTGTCTAAAAATATCTTGGAAAAATATTGACAAGACAATGGAGAGTAGAGTTGGAAAAAGTAGGTTTTTAACTTTCTACTAATTGGACTTTGATAAAGCCTAATTTGTTAAAAATTAATATATATCAATAATATGATTCATTTCAATTTTGAAAACACACAATCATCTTGTATGGAATTTATAAATAAATAGAAAATCCTATGGGTGATAGAAGTGTAAATTCTTCACATCTTTACAAGGTTTGACATTAGTTTTCACAATTCTTAAAAATGTGCATACCACATGATGCAGCGATCTCACTTGAAGAAATTTATATAAAAAAAAGCAAACAATTCCCATTGAAATGCCTAATAATAGAAGGTAGTTAAAAAATTGTAATATCCATATGATGGAATAATATGCAGCCAGAAAAAATGTAATTATATTTTTGAGTATTAAGAAAGTATCTCTCACTTTTCCTAGAGCCATTTGTTCTCTCCTGTTCAGTATGTGGTAATAATTATCTCAGGGGAAGAGCATAATATTTTTAAGATGCACAGATGAAGAAGGTAGTGTGAACAGATGAAAATGACCAGACACTAGTTTTCTCTTCCCTGCCTTCCCCCCGCCCCCCACCGCAACCCTGGGCAAAGAAAAGATAGTAACATTTAATTGACCGAGATTAATTCCTGTTCTTAGATGGAAGGGGGCTTGAAAAGATATTAACTTCAATTCTATAAAAGAATTTTAAAAGTTATAATTATTGCACACCTGATTTTGTGTCTAATGCGATTGATTCTAAGACTTTAAAACATGCATGAAAAACATTAAAAAATATATCAAAATATTCATATAGTGACTTTAAAAAATTGTTTGCATTTCTTTTACTTTTTAGAATGAATAAGAATCTCACTTTTGGAACTGAAAGAAATAATTCCGTCAGGAATGCTTCCCAGCACTTTTCCTGCTTTGCTTTTAATAATACACTGTAAATGCTAAATCCCCACTTTGTTCTCACTGGGAAGGTGTTTATACTAATAGCTATAGACTTTGCCAATCTTATCTTTTTGACTTTGTATTAAATCCAGTTTTCTGGAGAATTTTCTCTTAATTATGCTTGTGTTTTTCCATGTTCCCATAGAGAGGCAGAAGTAGGCACAGGAACCTTGTTGTCATGGATATAGATAGATGACACAAAGTTGGCTTAAAAGTGTGTGATGACAAAATATAATTATGTTGTCTCTGTGACAAAGTAGGTTTTTTCAAGAAAAATTAAGTCAGTGAAAGAAAATTTGACAATGATTTCCACAGAGTGTTTTAAATTACATGGTTATGAGAGGAGATACCTGGTGGTGTGAAGGTCAAACCTGGAGGTGACCCAAAGCCCTAGCCTAAATTCTCATCTTAGTTCTGTCACTAATTCGCTGAGATCTTCTGAGCCCATTTCAAAAAGGGTTTAAACCGATGACCTGGTAAGATCTCTCATTGTTCAGAATAGTGCCCTAGATCCAGGTAATGCTATTTAACAGCCTTCAAAATCTTTCTGCGTTCAAGTTCTTACATCCTTCTCAGAGCGTTACATATCCTGAAAACAATAAGGTTTCTAATTTACAGATGATTAAATTAAAGAAGTGACATTAAAGTTGACAAGATCTCTCAGCTGGGTTGTGGGACAACAGAGATCAAAATTGAGGACTTCCGCCCCTAGAACACTATCCACCACAGGAAAAAAAGCAACAAGTGTTTGTGAAGTGCTTCCCATGAGCAGGCACCAGGACAAGGGCTCATTATGGTACTTTTCACTTCCCCCAGCCATGAAGTCCAAGGGACAATTATTATCCCATTAAAATGTTAATACGTATTCCCAGGTTTATCTCCAGAAAAATGGTTACCTTACCAATAGGGTATGAGAATTCTTGTTTCTCTTTGTCTTTTTCATTTGTGCCATTCAGGAAGTCAAACAAAGAAATGAAAAAAAGAAACCCCTCAACTTGTTATTTTATTTTGGTTTTAATTAGTACTTAATTATATATGCAGTTGAGCAATGAAACTTTCAAGCAGGAAAGGACTTCACCCATCCATGTGTGGGCTGGTGTCGAGGGAGGGACCTGGAGACAGGGAGCCCAGGTGAGAAGTGCTGAGGTCTGGTGCAGGCTGCGCAGGTGGGACTGTGGCATCAGGGGAGTCCAAGGTCAATGAAGGTCATCTTGATGACAATTCAGGGCAGTGTGGTCTGTTGTCATTGGAACTAAAAAGGCCCAACTTAATCATTTATGTTGTGCCCTAAGGAAGAATTAACAAAAAGGGGATGCTATATACATTTATATATCCTGGGATATATAAATTTGCGTGCATTTAACCAGTTCTGTGGCGGGAAACCTGGGTTTCATGCTCATGAGTGAATGAATGATCTGCGCCAGTGTACCTTGGCGTGGGGCTGGATAGTTCATTTGAATATACCGTGACCTGGGTTTTTAAAAAAATTCAGCAGAATAATTTTTTTCCCCTGAAGAAAACCATGCTCATGGGAAGGAGGGAGAGGGGGAAGAGGAGGAGGAGGAGGAGGAGTGAAGATCACTCGTGTTTATACAGTGAAAAACGGGGGTTCTTGTCTTAAGATTACCAGTTTTTCTCCTCTCTCTGGGTCTAATAACACTAATAATAGCTCACATTTTTTTTAGTTGTTGCTGTGTCCCAGAAACAAAATTTCCTACCTAGATTAACTCACACCCTCCACAATCTTTGAATGTTATGTTTATGATCCTCATTTTTTAGACACAAACACTGTATCATAGAGAAGTTTAATAACTTGCCCAAGTTTGCACAATTCATGAGCAGTGGGGCTGGATTTCAAACCCAGGTGGTCTGGCTTCCCAACCAGTTTGCTTAATCTAATTACACTGCCCTAAATTCTTTTCGTGGCAGTGGGGTGGAAATTTCTGGAGACAAAGGCCAATTAAAGGGCTTTGCACTATTCCCTATCACAGATTTCATCTACTGATCTCTAAGCTGGTGTGGCGCCCTGAGTGGTAGGGTTGGGCCGTGTGGTTTGCTCTTGGTTGTACACTGTTATTATTTCTTATATGTCCTTATGGGGATATATAAATATAGGGGTATTTTCTCCATGTAACTTTTAACCAAGTGGTTAAAATGTTACCTTGGAAGTCATTCTTATTTATCTACCTATTTATTTATTTATTTTCTTAAAAGGACACAGGAGGCAGATGACAATGTTCTACATTTATTTCTTTAATTTTTATTTATTGATTTGAGAGAGAGAGAATAACATCAATTTGTTGTTCCACTTATTT